GCTGAGGCATGACCACGACCGGCATGCAAATTTAGTGTTATTGCATACGTGATTGATTCTGACTAGAGGTTGTGCAAGAGGAGGATTACCGCTGGTGTGGACATAAATCGAAGATAAACTCAATCGCCTTAATAGTTTAATGGATTCCGCAACTGCTTGCCGCTGATTTTATGTACGGGTTTGTCAGACAGGAAATGTGAATGACAGTCGAACGCCTTTTGCTGCTTCCTCAATAAAATTGTTGGGGCTAGACTGGGTGTCAAGAATACAAACTCAATGCCACCTAATGAAATCTCGGTGTACGATATCGAATAAGCGTTTTGATGAGTCACGAACAATTGGATGAATTGAATCAACTGGGACTTGTTTAGAATTTCAATGTCATCGTTTGGATGTTTATGTAATAAACTTGATTACATTCAGGTTATAATTTGAGGGAATTAACTGATTCACAGAGGATCAGAGGTAAAAAGAACTGAGCATTGAAAAACAAAACTGATCTCAGGAGATACGGTGCAATTTCCATTTTCCGTGAGGAAATATAAAAAAGTTCATGAGCGTTTTCGGTAGAAACTTTATTCTTAAAATGACAGGACTATAACTGTATATGAAGGTAGTGCGTATAGATTTCTTAGAGAAGAAAAACGATAATTTCATTACTTCTAGCATCAAAAACATCACTGACTTATTGACTGGAAGCTCTTGACTCCTACAGAGCAACGTCTAAATAGGCAGCAAATTGCCAAAAACGACTCTTCTCAATAAGAAGACTCAACAAACTGTCTCTCGTATGTTTCTCTGGACACACTGACCTGGAAGGCAGTGAAGCTGCTGACTCTTGCAAAGAATGGTGCTGCAAGTAACTACATCGGACCAGAACCTGATATTGGCATCGTTTCAAGCTTTGCCAAACAAACACCTGGATAGCAAGAAGATATATAGACTTCCAGGATTGGCTCACTTCAAGATGTTTATTCACCCTTTGAAGCTTGATACCAAATACTTGTTGGACTAGAGTAGGGATGAACTACGATGTCGAACAGGCCTGTCATATGCAGAGACTCGGATGGTCGGAAGACAGTGTGTGTCGCCTCTGTTGGGGAAATGATGAACCAGCAGTGCACATACTTCTTGTTTAGAATTCGACAGAGCCGCATTCTTCTCATCTGACCTGAAGGACCACTTATCATAGGCTTCCTTAAGAAACTGGGTTTATTTGGGTGTGAGGCACAATAAACCCTCACGGGTTGCGGTGGAGAGTCGAATACACCCACTCACTTTAGAAGTAACCTAACCTAACTGTCAACAGATTTTGAAAGAAAGAAAGTAGTGGAATTTTTATTCAAAATTTCAGTTTGCAGATAACTGTTATTATACAACACCATCTGTGACCAATACTGAATAATTTTCTTACATACACACCGTGTACATGTTTCCAAGAAAAAACTCTAGAGGGCACAGCCGGCTTTTCAAGCGAAACCTCGCAACTTCCAGAGCTTATTAATAATAATTGATCACTGCATGTTCTCTCTGCCAATAAAAATATTTTGTTTATATATGGTAATTGAAATAATGCCACAAGACGATAAGATAGCGAATTACTAATTCCACAATTAATTACAGAAATTTCTCAGAATTTACCACACACATCGACTTGTGTATAAATTATCGCTAAGAACGGCAGCGTCATAAGTGTCAAGGAGATCATAATATTTCATTTCATTGACATATTTCCGATGCATTACGTCGACCAGATTGGAATGGAATCAATCTCGATATTTGTTCACTGAACTCTTTTTATGTGATTGTGGTAACAGAAAATTTCAAATTGTGCAGCGACACTTCTTCCTCTTTGTTTGATAGAAATACGGTGATAGTCCGGGGAAAAAGCAGCTAACAAGTTTTCCAGAAACTATTCTATGGAGTCTCCTTGAAATATTTCTTTGTATAAATGAGAATATTTTAAAAATAGTGGATGCATTTTCAGTGACAAATTACCATTTTTCCTTGGTCAAAAACATAAAATTACAGGGATAAAATTTTCCTCCGCTACAACCCTGTTCTTTTAAACGAAACACTCCGCCAGAGAGGATTGAAAAGTACAGAGGTTGCATTTCAATTAAAAGTCTATATCTGATGTTTTATTCAAGTGAATAAGTGTCGCTCTAAGTACCCCCAGAGATTTCGAGAGGGGCTATCATGGCGAGGGTGTCCCAGCTCGTTATCGCTCTAAATAATAAATGACGTCTCGTCAGGATGCGAGTCCTTCAGGACGCGAGCCCTTTTAACCGAGTCCGACTGATCGGTGAACCGCATTAACTTTCGGACGTCGGGGGATATTTTTGGGGTTATACGAGTAGACTATAATTTTCATTTCACTTACATCGAGATAGTACAGTAATGTTGACGTTTGTGGTATTTTTTCAGCGGATAATATTCATCATAGATTAGCAGTTTCATGTTACAAGTGAACAAAATTGTTATTTCAGAATCGTAGTTTGAAATAACAACGTTGTTCAACAGTGCCTGTTTCATTGAGTTCCAAGTGAAAGAATTGTTTCTGTGATTGCAATGTTGAAGCTTTTTCGAAGTCTTTTGTATTTCTAACTAAGAAGTGTGAGTAAGACATTACATTACAGTTGGATATGTTGACAGATAGATTATTCTTCCGACACCATGTAGCAACGCGATTCAAATTCAGGGCGAGACGTTCGCAATCCATAGAACATGTTGTATAGTGATAGAGTTTCAAGTCATCTGCGTATCTCACCTCCGATATCATTAATGAACATATCGAACAGTAGGGGTCCTAGATTTGATCCTTGTGGTACACCAAATGTGGCTATATATTCGATAGACTTGAGGACATTGAGCTGGACGTACTGCTCACGGTTGTAAAAATACGATTTGGAGAGGGTGATTAATTCATTGGATATCCCAAAAGTCGAAAGCTTGGTCACCTATGTCGAACGCTTCAGGAAAATCAGTGGAGATGATATCAGTCTGATGCTGACAATCAATACCCTCTGCAATACATTTAGTGATTGTTACAAGATTGGTGGTGGTTGAACGTCCTTTCATGAAACCGTGTTGATTGGGGCTAAAAATGTTGCTAACATGACAGTAGATTATCTTCTCAAGCATCTCAAACACTTCACGAAAGTTGCATATGATAGGAATTGGTCTATAATTTTTTATTAATTAGAGTTGTTAGTGATTCAACCAGAAGTGAGGCACAATATTTAATGATGAATGCTGGAATATGATCAGGTCTTGCAGTAAATGTAGGTTTTAATTTTTTTAGGGTATGATAAACATCTTCAATAATAAAGTTTTTGATTACCAAGCTGAGAATATCACTACTGTTGTTCGAATGGTCACTTGATGTTGACACTATATAAGAACCACTGAACAAATCTGCAAAACCATCAAGAATATCTGAGGGATTATCGAGTAGCTTGCCTTCATGTAACATTCCGATTCCATTCGTATATTTTGACCTGTTAATAAATAACCAAAACTTATTGGGGTTATGGATAACCTCGCTCTCAGTTTTCTGAATGAACTTTTTATAAACTATTCTGCCTGAAGACGTTTGAATTCATGAAAAGTGTGAATGTTGCCGTTTATGTTGTATTTTGCTCCAGTTCGAATTTTCTTTATCGATGCACCATCAAAGTAGGCTGGAAAATTATTTTTAGATTTTATCGAGAATTCTGGCACGCAGCGCTCAAATACACTCTATAATTTTGCATAAAAGTGAAGACAGGCATCATCTGCATTGCGAAACGCATTCAGAAACGTCCAATCGAGATTGAGGATCAGCTCAAATCATTATCTCTGCTAGTGATAGGCTTTTCTCACTGAAGTTATTGACCACAAGGTAATGTAAACAGTATACAAAGAAAATTAGAGTTCTCTTTTCTGTGACCCCTCAGACTTGTTCGGAATCAAAAAAACGAATGAATGGTCAATTCAATGCAAATTCTATGCATCATCTGCATTGCGAAACGCATTCAGAAACGTCCAATCGAGATTGAGGATCAGCTCAAATCATTATCTCTGCTAGTGATAGGCTTGTGGTATATGTTTTTCTTTTCTTCATAAGAGTTATCGATATTACTTACTGTTCTTTATTGATATTATTCCTTCTGTCGATGAAATCATTTTTTGTATTTGTGTGTGTGTGTATGTGTGGTTTGGATTTTTTCCCTTTTGGAGAACCAATTAGCCAGATTGTGTTAATAAAAATCCATTTGAAAGTAACATTGTTCAATAGCTCTAACATTGAAATTCTTCTATTTTTGAAATTCTCTTCTTTTTGCATTTTCATTTTTGACTTTGATTTCTTTTTTGCCTTTTCATCTCTATTTGTTTTAATTTTTTCTTTTCAGTTGAGTGTTTTTTCTTTTTGTCAATTTCTTTTTGCGTTCTTTGCGGTTTTTGTTACTTTTTTTTCTTGTTTTTTTTTCATTCATTTATATTTTTTATTTATTTGTTGATTTCATATTGTTTTTCTCCCATTTTCCAATCCATTTGTACATAACATAAATGACATTCAATTTTAGTAGTACAAATTTTGATAAGACGATGTTTTAGATAATTTGTATTTGTTTCTTATTATATAATTCTTTTTCAAATTATAGAATTTGTGGTGGTAACTATTGAGTAAATGGTACCATTCTAAGGATTGCATTGTGGCTTAGTTGAACAACCGTTTCAAACATGTGTCCATAAAATACAATAATCTTTTCAAAAGAGGGAAAGCTTTAGATATATATTCAGACTCCTAGACCCATGGTTACTGTCAACCCCCCCTATCTCCCCTCCCTGTAATCCACTCACAGTATTCCGTATTCAAAGCCGTTGTGACAAACTGTACTTTCGTCACCGAAAAAACAATCGAATCACTGCGCCGACCCGCACGTAGGATATTACTTTTTCTAGTAATTTATTGCGGGATAAGAGACACTTACGATATAATAACAAAGTGAACTCACCCATTAAATGGATATCCTGCGAAGGCCGTATCGTAGGGGTGATAAACGGAGGGGTAGGGCCATCCAGCTGCGCCGGCCGCTAAATTTTCTTTCAGGTCCAAACCGGCAGCCTGCAAAAAATATTGAGAAGATCTTTATTCATTCAGGATTACGAAAAACATACATCAATCAAAATACAATAAAATGCAATAACATAAAATGAAATAAAATACAATAACATACAATAAAACACAATACAATGAAATAAAAACAATGTAAATGAAACATCCACATTACAAAAAACGTATATGTGGCCTTTCAAGTATAATGTAAGCACTATAGAGGACGGGAGGGGTTTTGCTGCGGTTATCTTTGAGGACATGGAGGGCGGGGGGGTCTAGCTGGTGTTTGTTGGTCTAGTTTTACTGACGAGGGGGATGGGAGGTGAATAATTTTGAGGTATATACTTACATAATACTGTAAACGGCCCCTGTGAATGATACCATTCAAAACTTACATTGGTCAAACAAGTTACAAGACTTTTTTTAATGTGAAATGTGAAACACCGTTGGGAAATGATGAAAAAATGTACATGGAACAAAATACTGAAAATTATAAAGAAAATAAACAAGGGGGTAAATTTTAAAAAACAGGAAATACAGAATACAGTTGAAAAAAAGGTTTTCTCAGCATCACATTTATGAGTAAGATTCGATTTCAACATACATAATTTGGTACTAGCACCACGGCTCTTCTGTCGATTACCGACGACATTTGTGAAGCCATAGATGATGAGAATTTGAGGTGTTCAGTACTTCTGAATTATAGCAAAGCCTTTGACTCTATTGTTCACGAGATATTGTGTGACAAACTTGTCCACTTTGGTTTCTCTCGGTAAACAACGTCATTCTTAGCAAACTATCTGAAGAATCGTTCTCGAACAGTTGTTGTGGATGAACTTGTATCGGATGCTCCACCGGTAGCAAAAGAAATGCAACAGGGATCTATCCTCGGGTCCTTGTTATTTACCTTGTATGTATGTTTGTGAAAATATACAATATACATCACTATGCAGATGACAGGCAGTTATATTTCTCTTTTCGTAGATCCCACATGTGTCCAATCATAAATCAATAACGATCTTCAGGCGATCTCTGTTATTTTTCAGCCCATAAGCTTGAGCTCAATTGTAATGACTCTACAATACTGATGGTTGGACCTAAGAATGAATCAATTTTCTTATAACGTTCCGCAGCTGTTCCCAAGTCGTATTTTGCTCAGCAACAGTATTCGTGAACCAGCTTTTAGCCAATCGAATGGTATTCAACTACAGCGTATTCAGAATACTCGTAGTTGTCTAAGTTTCTTGTTTTGTATTCGGAAATATGAATCTCAGCCATGCAAGAATCATGATAGTTTGAAGTTGAGAAGCTCAGAACACTGCATTTATTCATCAACAAATATAAAGCAATATTATTATTCACTGGAGAAACTTCCCAACAATTATCAGTTTCACTTTGAGTCATCTTCCATTTTCATTTGCTGCTTCTCATATAATGCATCCAAACATTGCAGACAACTATCCTGTGAGTTTCGATTTCATACAATCAAAATCTTCAAAAAAACTTGAGACTAACTTAGCTGTCTAGTTTCTTGTCCGTTCCCGACCTTGGCAATACCAAAAGAATTTTCTACAGCGGATGCATAAACTGAACTGCTGATCTTGTCATCACAGTAACTCTGTTACTTTGTTTTTTTTTGTTATCGTTGAGCGTATTGTTGTTGTAGAAGTAGAAGAAGATACTCCTCATTCACCTTGAAGCTGAGTTGCCAGTTTGATCGTACTTATTATCGTATTACCATTATCATCATTATTATTATTGATTTGATAATGAACATGATAATTTCCGACCGAATTTCCTTTGTTTGTCAGTTTGACCAATTCTCACTGAAGTTATTGACCACAAAGTAATGTAAACAGTATACAAAGAAAATTAGAGTTCTCTTTCCTGTGACCCCTCAGACTTGTTCGGAATCAGAAAAACGAATGAATGGTCAATTCAATGCAAATTCTATTACACGTGTTAACTCATGACAATATTCCGATTTGTTGTTGAAAGCAATTCAATAAACACGGGTCAAAAGTCAAGAGTTTGTTACATTGTAATGAGTTGAATCAAATTACGTCGCTACATATTTTCATTTAAAAAATTGAACAGTTCAGAAGCGGCACTGCGCGTTTACACTTATAATACTAACGTTTCGGTGAGAATTGAGGCTCCTTCAATGTTACAATAATGAAACATTACTTGATACAGTAACGAAATCAATAAAAGTAATTAATTGCATGAGAAAAATGGTTTTGAATTTCTACTTCTCCATTTTCATACAAAAATGTGGTAATCTTCCAAAGAAAGGAAAAAAGCAAATAATTTCAAAAGATTAACTCTATACGGAGATTTGTAGGCATCCTTTGTATGATATCTGATTCGATTCCATAACGAACAGTTTCTCCGTGTGATTCAAAGTTGATGTGTCTGAAAGTAACTTTTTTGCATGATCTATACATATTTGTATAGAGTTGTATCCAAATGGAGAACTAAAACGCCAAAACCTTTTTACACAAAAATTAATCTCTGCTGAAAATAAACCCTTTCAATTTAGTTTCATAAAATGAGAATCTTCATGAATCAACATGAAAAAGAGTTGCCCCAAATGTACCATTTCAATTGTTACACATATCTACGAATCAGCTTTAAATTCCATAAACTTCCGTGAGAAAAATTATTTTGGCAAGAACGAACTTGTTGACCTCTAAAAATGAGGTTGACCATTTTATATGAATTATAATTGAAAAAGAAGATGGCATCAGAGCTCTTGCATTTCTTTGGTATTCTTTCGAAGTGAATTTTCACCTAAATGAAACTAAATATAAATCCTCATGGTCAGGAAACAAAACGGTCATGAAAAGGTCCAATAATTATAGTTATCAACTTATTTGCATACACATTATTATTCCAAAAGATTCAGTTGGGAATATTTCTACTTTCTGGTCTACTAGAGTATTTGTTATGAATGATTTTGAACGATACATCATTTGAAAATATTACTTTTGGCAGTGAAAGTGTGAATGCTATCAATTTCCAAATTGAATCACATAAAATTTATGTCGCGAAGAAAACTCTTTAGGAAGAAAGTATATATGTAAGCAATTTTAGTGTCATTATTTCATAGCTACTGTCTATTATTACAATCGTAGACCAACGCTGTCTTCATGTTTAAGAAATTACAAGAGTCTGAAGTAGAATGTATCTCTTTAATGAAACCTCTATGTTCATCTATAGTGCAAATATATATTTGGGAAGTGAAAAATTACTTGATTTCACTAATTTTTCACCAGTTTCAAGTGCCCTCAAGTGAATGGTTCAAACTTGAGAATTTTTTATTCATTTATCATTAAAGAATGTATAGTTCATTCAAATTTACAGATAATTTGCATACGATTACTTCATCATCAGTTCAACATTATTTACTCATCAAAATATTCAATAATTAACGTCGATAACCAACATTTTTTTCACTATTGAAGATTATGGAATGAAGAAATCTGTTAATGAAATTCATCATTAACAAATTTCACATTGAAAAAAGTTTTTTCTCATTGTAGATATTGGAGAGTCTGCTGAGTTCATATGCTGGCATTTTCCAGCTCAGTAAACTAGAATCATTTTTGATATTTATGTTGTCAATCACAATTTCATATGAAAGTAACAATGAGGCAAATTCTTCACCGCAACTCGAAATACAAGACCCCGCATCGCGTTACAAATAATCTATTGTGTGCTTCTTCATATGAAAGTTTCACTGATGCAGACAACACATGTAAACATGAGAATCTGAAATTGCTTTATCCCACATAAAGTTACATAACATTACTTAACATTAGTTGTTGCGGTCGCTGCATTTGTCCTCTGAACCACTCAAAACTTTGTAGACTAGTTTCATACTCGTAATTGCTGAACTAAATTCTGTCGAAATGATTTCTTATGTTAGTGACAAGGAACCAGGGGTGCTATGTATTTTTTTCAGAGCTAGAATCACTGATTGATACGTTTTTAAATATACGGGGTATGGTCTGAAAATGAAGGGAATTTTCAAACTTATGTGGTTTGGTGAGTAGGCTTGTCATTTTTTTATCATTGACTTGGTTATGCCACTGAAGTATAATACAATTTCCAGCAGACTAAACGTGTTTTTTCAAGTGCTTAGCGATTTTCGTTCGTTGAAACAAATGGATCAAAAGCATAAAAAAATAAATAGAACCTAACAAAGTTTGTGAACTATCACAGAGAAACTCATTTTAAATTTTCATTCAACTGCAACCCTGTCAATAATTTTTAGTTTACTTCGTTTTGAACGTTTGTTTCAGTTTAATTTTTATACAATTCACGGATCTAACTATAAATTTTGAAACTTTTTCCCAACATGCTGTACATATCATTCAATGAAATATACCTCGGACATCTCATAAAATATCCTGGCCTGTCAGATTTATTGTAGGGGCCAATACCACGATTAAACCGATAATCCATAATGAAGTTATAGAAACACGTCTCTATCCTGATTTATGGTCGGACAAATTCATTTTTGAATAATCTTGCGTGTATAAATATATACAAGTCTCTTTTAAGTCCGAGCTGCAGTCGACCATCGACAATAGCCACATTCATATTCATAAAGCCTTGTGCCACGTTATTAAATTTTAACTGTCATGTTACTGGAGTGATATAGCCGAGCATACCACAGGATCCCATTCAGAGATCTTAATTATCACTTTTACGTGCTGAAGTGATGCCAAATTATCCGAATGTTCCGTTTAATTTACACGCGTTTCCAAAGTGTCTGCATTAGCTGGAATTTTGCCTGCTTGTCTCTTATATCGTTTTGGAATGAAATTTCAGCCAAATTTTTTGATAAGACGTGAATTATCTATCACAAAAACTGAACATAAACAGTTTTTGCCCTAATCCAATTTTTAGTTTCAATAGTAATTCTTTCATCTCGCTTAATCGCCAGATATTAATTATTTTTGGCTTTACTGATAAAGTAAGTCCTTTCCCAAGTAGTAGTTTTGCATCAGAGGTAAGAATTTCAAATGACAATTTTCCTCTATATGATTCTCTATTGCAATTTTCACTTTTTTGACAGTGGAAAGTGAAAATCTCCCTCCATTCTGGAAAGGTCGATAGAAAACAATTTTCACATTCATGAACTCATTTCTTCACCGAAACAAATTATTTAATAGTTATACAACGCACTGTATAGAGAAAAATTGTGAAATGTAATCTTTTGAACCTTGTAAGTTCAAACTTTGAGGACAACCCCGTTACAAAGAAAAACACATAATTACACCTTTCTGAAACTGACAGCAACTGTCTTAGATAGTGTTAACAAGATACCATAACAAAAGGAAAACCTGATAAATTGGCAATAATTCACAATGCACGTGTTTGTTTTCCTAATTAGCTTCATTAGCTGTGTTTCAAATAATAACCGTCTAATTATTACGTCAATTATTCTTCTATCTACTATATGCGAATAATTTTTCTCCTTCTGCATACTCTTCAACAAATTTCAAATTATGATGATGACTAACAATTAATTAGTTGAGAGAAAATTAAATCAAATGTTTCAATGAGATGAAGCCTACAATATCCCGAAATGATTCAAAAAATACCCTGTATAAGTTTACTAATGAGCCTTGGATTGGAAATCTACCAGAAAACTATTGACTAGATGAAAACGATAGTTTGAAATAGAGCTTCTGAGATAATAATATCAAAAAATATAACGGAAGAAGCCGTTTTTTATATTTATAGATGTGAACCTTTTTCCACTTATTCGAAATAATGATTTGTTGCCTTCAGTAAATATTTTGTTCACACGCCAATGGAATATATATTTCTCTCCTTTGCAGAGTAACCTAACACCTATAATTTGCATACTCAATAACTATATGTCCACTTTCTTCTACTACGTATGATTATTTATTTAAAAACAGTTGTTTGTCCCTCAATAAATACTGAAATTTGAATATTCCACAAGCAGAGTTGTTGAAAAACTATATTTTTTTTTTCAATACAATGAAGCCAAATTATTGCAGTTGATCGGTTGTCTGTCAAGTCGTTCTGACAAGTATCTATTGCCTTTGCGAATTTATTTTATTTTGCAGAGAGGAAAGTCAATTGCTTTCCCAGTATATCTGAATGGTCAACACCCAAATATACAGTTCACGACAATCAGCATTTCTGGAAGTTCTGGTGACAAGAACCACAACATCTAGAAATGAAGCAAACACATCTCAAGTTTGTCTTGCCAAACTTGACATAGAGAAGGCGACAAAAATCTATCCTGAACAGAGGCCAAAGCGAGCCATATAATTGAGGTTAAGTGATCTGTTCTTTTGAAGATTTTTCAAACCGGAAGGAACAAATAGTTTCTCTTCTATTTTATTGATATTACAACAAAAAGTCATGGAGTGGAGTTCCATACAAGGAAACCTTTCTTCATATTATTAGAGATATTTCGGGACAGTCATAGGTATTCCCTGAAAATTCTTTGAATCATGATGTATACCCTGACCTACCATGCTCAAAAATTAGGAGGTTGATTTTGAAAATTTGAACCTTCGAAAGACGTATTCATGTATTTCTACCTTTCAGAGATGATGTTTTAAACGTTGCCTCAAAAAATAAAAATATTTCTTTCATATGTTCGTCAATACGATTTTTTTATCAAGTTCACGTTTGACCTATATACTGTCACTAAAATCCTAACAGCGACATAAAATCCCCTAATTGAATATTCCAAAAAAAGCACTACTCACCGTCGACGTATAAAACGGCGCCTGATCAGCTCCAAGGGCGGGAAAATACGCCGCCATCCCTTCGGGATAGGGGGCGCTGTACATGGAAAGCGCGGGAAGTCCAGGAACACCTGCTCCTGCGAGCCTTTGATAACCTAATAGTTCGTATTGGCATGAGCAAACACTCTGACCTGTGATCGGATCGGTAAAAATGGGCCTTCCGGTATCGCAACACCTCTGAGATGGAGTTGGGGGGCTGCCCGCTGGTGCTGAAGATGTAACTGCCATACTTGTTGGGGGAGAGGACGACTGACCAGGGCCCGAAGATACTACGCTCTGGAAAGAAAGAGAAGTCATCAGTACAATGGCTAGAAAATGGGAATACAGGTTTGGTCAGGTTATGTTAGGTTAGGTTAGCTCAGGTTAGTTCAGATTAGGTTAGTTTATGTTAGGTTAGGTTACTTTAGGTTAGGTTGGGTTAGGTAAAGTTGAGTTAGGTTATGCTAGGTTAGGTTAGGATAGGTTAGGTTAGGTTAGTCTAGTTCAGTTCAGGTTGGGTTAGGCTAGGTTTGAATTTGGTTGGGTTAGGTTAGGTTAGGTTGATTTAGGTTAGGTTAGTTAAGTTATGTTACTTTAGATTAGGCTAGGTTATGCTAGGTTAGGTTAGTTCAGGTTAGGTTTGGTTAGGTTGGGTTAGGTAAAGTTGAGTTGGGTTATGTTAGGTTAGGTTTGGTTAGGTTAGATTAGGTTTGAATTTGGTTTGAAGCAAGATATATTCAACAGAATCTATTAATTATGGAAAACAACATTCAAAGTATATTCTTCCAGCTTTTTATGCTGAAGTGAGTCTTTTGACAAGCCTCTTAGCCTAGACAGAAGTTGCATATTTATCAATATACTCCTACATTCAATAATTGTGAAATCAGCTCACCTCAAAGCTTCTCCATGAAGACAGAAAAAAATCAGTTGATTTCACAAAAGTGGTGGAAATATCAGAAATTTCATTGTCTGCAATAAAAAGGTGTTTTCATAACTAATTATCCCAATATGTAAGTTTCTTAAGGATATTCCAGTAGTATACTTCAAAGAACCTCCTTCAAGGCAACGCTGTATCTAGGATAACAAATTTATTTCTTTTATTCAATTGAATCCATGTAAGCAAAATCGATTCTAAAACCATTTCTTTCAACTGACTGTTTAGAATGTTGATTCCCAGTTTAACGCATGAGCGATGCAGTCTCTCTTGGAGGATATTGTATGTATGTATTTGATGAAGAATCAAGTCATCAATCAGATGTATATATTGTAAAAAGAAAGAATTTCACATCAATTTAAGATGTTTCATTTATCTTGTTGTTTCTCAAGTATAAATTACTTATGAGCAAGAAAATATTTTTTATGAGCAGGTTTGACTCAATCAACGAAATGGAGAGAAATCAAAGAGAAATTGAATATAGCATACCTCAAGGTACGGTTCTGGACCCCACGCTATTTACACTCAACTGTGAGAAATATTTGATTGAATTTGCCAACTGCGATTTTTGAAAGAACGAATATTATGCGTGAATCAAAGTGTAAAAAAGAAAATGATATTTTCAACATTTTGATTGATGATTATTATCATAGAAAAAACGAATTTTTGGCGGTTAAGTCACGATAAAGTGGGCATTTCATTTCTTTTTTCAGCAATTTGAGCATAGTTGACACCTTCACTGAATTGGTATAACACATTATTGATAGAAACGTTTTGAAAAATACAAACTAATTCCTTTGAAGTTTCAAATAAGAAAAGTTCCCTTGACTGACGATGAATCAGAAATCCCAGTATTGGGGCAAATATTCATTTCTCTCGAACAATAATTCCGCCACATAAATAATGAAAAATTCGTTTCGCAAATATATCTGAAAAAACAGAAATAACGCTACCTCTTTGTTCAAGTTCAACTTGAAAATCTGACATCAATTAACAAAAAAATCTTTGACGAAATCTCAGACAAGCTTCAGTCGTAGCAAAAATCCTGCTGATCCTAAATCATCGCATGTCATATTACCGGGAGTCAGTTTTTTCGAAGCCTCGTGAAATCGAAATAAGCGACTATCGTTCAGGGCATAGCCTTCTGTATAATCCTGCCATAAATCATGCGCCGTCATTGCTACCGTTTGATCTGAGGTTTGAATCGCTTTTCCATAGCTAAATTTATACGTGTATCATGAATTATAGCCGCTTTTAGGAACAACTTTTTCTGCGGTTTTCGAAAGCAGAAATCATTTCACGATGCGTGACTTGTGGGAAAACGGTGTAATGCATTCAGTGCAGTAGTTTTTTCTGGTTTTTGGGGTTTTTCTTCTGCTCCAGACCACTGTTGATGTTTTACGGTCCTTCTAGAGGTTATATTGGAGGATTCATAACCTTGGCAGGACAGCATTTTGTGAGAATCACTTGACAATTTTGAAACTTGTACAGCCCTACTTGAGGAATTGAACAATAATAGGAGAATATACCTACGCTCATGATATATGATGTGAGATTTTCACTAAACAGGGTTACAAAAACGCTGTAGGTGTTTAACCATGCCTTCACATGCTTCATTTTGTAATGTTATCCCGATTAATGCTAATCTCTACGAAAGTACCGAGTTATCTTTATGAAAAGATCAGCTTCCGCACCGATGTTCATCACCTGAACTTGAGATTCAAACATCATTTAGCCACTCCATCCTATAAAACTCCATTATTTCGATGCTCCTTTTCATATAATATATCTCGGCTGTATAATCGACTCCCTGACTCATTGAAGTCACTATCGCTGGCAAAATTCAGAAAAAAGCTGAAAGATGATTNTGTTGGAGATTCCAAAAATAATATTATATACAGAGTGTTCCATTTGAAAAATCAAAGTTGCTACTGCTTTCTAATAGAAGCGGCAACACCGCATTGTCGAAAATATTTTAGTTGGCTAGAGAATGTCCGAATATGCCCTCCATTAAATTTTCAAAGTGATCCGTTGTCTGGTTCACCAGAAACGTCTAATGTGCCATACACCGTGAATCAGCCTGTATATGTGTGTATATGAATGCCTATGTGTATATACATGCAAATATTTGTTTCTAGGTGAAATAATTAGCCAACATTTTTCTGTTTCTTTACTAGTTTTCATTATCGTTTTGTAGGCGAATTATTAGTTAACATTTTTCTATTTTTTTATTGTGTTCATTAAACGAAAGAAGGATAGGTGATAGCATGAGTGGTTAATAATGAATGAGCAACTATTATTATATTATTATTATTTTGATTATCATTATTCTTATTATTTCTAACTTACTTCTACGTTGTGACCAGTTCTACAGAAGCTATAGAATATGGAATTGATTGAAACAATCCTACGAGGCTCGCCAGGATTAAAAACAGCCAGCTTCCGTAAAAGGGAGAAAACTGTAAAGCATAAAGCGAACTCGAGAAGCAGATTTATTTTTAATAATGGCGGACGAATAGTTGATCGCACCACTGCACATCTCTGGGGTAAATAAATAATGCTGTTATTACAGTTCAGCGAATTTCACTCCGAAATGCAACTACTGGCAACGGCAAAGCAGCAACACGGGGTTTTCACCCCTAAGTGGATTAGCGTAAGGATGAAAACGCGGCCGACACATCAGCGTAATTTTAGATAATTTTACGTCTTCTCTCGTACAGTTGGGTAAGATGTTTGAGGGTAGATAATGATAGGTGTGAAGGGAGAATTGGGGTAGCTTCTGCTCGGCAATCGAGAAGGAATGTACTTTTGCTCGCACGCCCTTCACGCAAATTTTCGGGGTAATATGCGAATTAATTGAAATACATGAGAAGCGAGGGGTATGGTGAAGTTCTCTTGAAGCTTCCGTATATATTTGCTGCGTTTTGTGAGGGTATAACTGCCCAACTACTGTTTTCAGGTAGAACTACGTTACTTTGATCTTCGATTGATAGGCGAACTTTCCGGAAGAAGACATTTCTACGTTATATCCACCTCATATTCACCAAGTAGATGAAGCGTCGAAAATTGGGACATGAGGGCATTTCCACCACTAGGTTAATGATATTGATGAGTATCACGTTGATAGTTTTACCTCTTTTAAGATAGTCAATGAAAATTATACCTCACACTCCATTGAACATCTCCAACGACTTTGTTTTTGCTCGAGTATGAGCAACCGCGGCACCCATCTTGCACAAAGCTTTCTCGTGTCCAAATTTTCATATGATGTACGATATACCGCGAGTTTTGAAATTCCTACTAAGTTTTGTGGATCTGCTTCACAGTTCTTGGAATCGCTACCTCATTTACACCTTTTGGCAGCTCGTATGGCCTCATTTGAACTCTGCTACTGTTGTAACTGAAGGAGCAGACTCACCCAGAGTGGAATCCTGTTCAGCTTTTATATTGGTTGGGCTGTGACCTTTCAAATAAAAGTATTGACCACATAACGATTACCAATTTTCTCTATTTTCACAACTTCACCGGAAATTTTGGTTATTGATGGCTGCCAAACGAATACTAAACAACTAGTCCAGCTAGTTAAAAAAAAATTTAATAAGGTGAACCGTTTTCGAAATAGAGGGCGGAGAGCACGCGGTCACAGCATCACTTCAGGTCAACCGGTGCCTCCGGTCGAAAACGCGCCATATATAGTTGATGAACTATCGATAAATCAATGATTATAAATATTTGTCAATTTTTATTAACTATTATATTATATTTTATCATTTT